CTCGAGCGGTACGGCAGAGCCAAAAGCACTTTTGCCACCATCAGTTGTCTGCATGAATCCGAGCTGTGTGCAGCACTGCCAGATCCATCCACGAGCTGAGGCTAAACGATATAGCTTGAGTAAATCACTTAAAAATTCCTCCTTTCCCTTAGCTTCTTGGGCGGAGAAAAAGGAATGGGGGAAGGAGGAGAGGGAGATGAGGGAGGAATGGCTTAAGATTTTGGCGCTAACGAGATGGAGAAAAAAGCAAGAACTAAAAAAAGAGGGGCGGCGGTTCGTTTAGTGCGAGCCCTCTCCACTTTAGCTTCAGTCTTCAATTTCTGCTCATCGCCAACGGCGGCTCTCGCTGCGTTCTCCAACGGACTTATCGCAGGTGCCACGCCTCTTGTTCTACGAGTCAATTAAGACCGCTTACGCTCCTTAAGTTCCAACTTTAGCATTCCATTCGGTCTCTCATATTCTGATCTGGTCATACAATACAACTTCAGACAAACATGCTATCATTCATTTCAAAAAATTTCAAACCAGCAATTCAACTTGTAAATCCGGATGAACGACTAAAAAAAATTATTCACTAATTTTTATTAGTTCACCACTGACAGCTAACAGATGTGACTGGTGCGGGTATCGTGTCAAACAAGAAGAGTGATAAATTTTGTTCTAGGATGTTTCATTTTGTTCTTTTGTGTGTATATAAAAAATCTGCAAACGGGGATCACGAGGACGGAAAAGGAGTGAGATTTCTGGGGTAAGAAAAACATTTATTCCTAAAAGAAGGGGCGCTGGGATACGGCGGACTGGGAGGAGGCTGCGAATTCGAAAGGCGGATTGAGCGGGGAGGAGAAGATTACGTGCGAACTTCGGGAGCCAACAGCTGCAAGATTCGTTGGAGTGCTTAGGCTTTGGTGTTTATACGTATATCGTTGAATTACGTTAATGTTGTGTTCTTAGGTTTGGTGTATTAAAACAAGAAATTAAGCTCTTTGCTTCAAGCATAGCTATTTGATCATAGGCGCAAACCAAATGATCAACAGTGGGAATTATCATTACAACTCCCTGCCCTAAACACAGACTTTTTAAATAACATGCGCTTTGCATCGGTGTTGCACCAAACCATAAAAACATGCCATTAGGCTACTTCTGCACTGCTATTTATACTTAGGTGTAGCTGACTTTTAAGAAGAAACATGATATTTGGAATATCTCAGTTCTCTTTCAATCTTGCGTAGGCTGGAAGAAACTGAAAATTCACTAACATCTATCGTAGTCGGGTGGGTCGTAAGTAACATTTCGCATCATCTCCATATAACTCGAATAGCTGTTGTCATTGCAAGTCTCTGCCGATTCAAAAAATGACTTATAAAAATCCATAACAGCCTTGATTCGCTTCATTCTACTTGGTTCGCTCGCGTTGTTCATAATTTCACACGTCCGAGGTACGCCGAGTCCCGCACGTCGTGCTTCGTCCTGTTTAATTCAATTTCGTTGAACGTTTAAATAATTCCAAAAAATTGTTCATCCTAATGTGCTTATGCGTATTTGAAGGCAATTAAATGAATTTTTATTGCGCTGCAGTCCCGTTAGTGGCAGAACCAGTCCTAAGATTCGCTCATTTATTTCGACGTTAAATTGGTACTGGTAAATGCAATGAGTTGAATACACCATCCGCTTGCTTCTTAGCAAAACTCAAACGAAGAACCCAAACCAAAACTCTTGCCAGCGAAGCTATCTGCGTTTAGTACTGTTCTGAACATTTCCAAATGCGTCCATTCTTGTAGAAAGCTGATATGGAGGCGGTTTGGATTAATG